GTCAATGGAAGATACCCCTGCTGGGTAGAAATGTACATTTTTGAAATGTTTTCAGGCAGATGATTATTGAATAAGTGTAAATTTGACTTGGTATAAAATTCTTTCAAAATTTTAGAACTTTATCAACCTTTCCACAGAATTCTAAACAATGCAATTTTAATTCTATATAACTGCCGAAGGAAAATTTACACCAAAAGGTGTTAACCATTTTGGTTTTGAAATGAAGATACATTTCTGAGAAATATGTTCAAAGAAGAAATTACCATTTTGGTTTTGAAATGAAGTTAAATTTCTGAGAAATATGTTCAAAGAAGAAATTACATTTTTTGTGAAAATCTCAAAGATTCACATGCAAGCATTAATATGCAGCTGTTGTCACTTTACCTGATGCATGTTGTAGTTTCTGTTGTTGTTGTCTCTTTTTCGGGTTGTTAATTTCAATTTAGCAAACAGTTTGTATGTCTGCAGCCTGCCTGCCAACATACCTTAACAGCAATTAAGCCATAATAAGTACAGGACTTTAATAAAGCCGGGTGTCTTCAGCAGACGACGGCAGCAACAACAACTACAACAACACACAACTCAGCATTACAATGGAAAAACTTTACGCCCAAACTGAAAAGCATTCCACTAATGAAAAGACATATCTTCCCTTGACATCAAAACTAAAAGTGAAAAGGATAAGCCGCCAGAGACAAAACCGGGCATGCAAAGCAAAAACAAAAACAACGAGAGACAACAGAAATAGGAAACAATGCTGGTGTTGTTGTTCTGCATATCCTGGAATTTTGTAATGCTCACACACACACTCACCCACACAGATTTTCACACAGTTAAAAAAGAATGAACATTTGCCTTAATTGTTTTTCATTTTCTCATTCTTTTTTAGCACAGTTTTAGAAGCAGCATATAAGGCCAGCCACAAACGCTCTACACTTTTTGTTTCATCACCAGCAGCAAAAGCATCATCTTATTTTCCCCCTCTTCTCCCCATTCTACTTCACTCCACAGGCGATTGTCTCAAACATCATCACGGTTTGAAGACTCTTTTTTGTCACAGTCATTGTTGTTGTTATTTTGGTTACCGGCTGTTTGACAATCATGTGAGCAAACATTGTTCACTTTACATGGTGTAACCATCCAACAGCCCACAAACGTTTTGTCATCGTAAATTTCTGGCCACGGAAGCTATGCAATTCACCTCCCAGCAGTAGCATCAGCAAACTGAATATCTGCATAGGTGGATTTTTCATAATTATACTGCATAATTTTTGTGTTGCATCAACGGCTAAACAAGTGTTGCACACTCTCTTCAACGCACACACACACACCCGCTCACATACATGGTTGGCACGAACGCACGACATGACACCATCATCGCCACCACTGTCTGAGACACTTTAAAAGCCACAGCAAACAATGCAGTATGGATGGAACTGAGTGAGTGTTTGTCGCTCGACTCTGCTCGGTTCGGTGGTAAGAAATGTAAGACTAACACAATACACATTACAATCAACCATTCACCGAGCCAGTCAACCAACCATCCAAAGAGCAAAAGCGAGACAGCCAGTAACTGCTCACTGCTTGACACAGTGACCGTATAGAAGAAACCACAGTGCACCAGCAAGAACCAACAAGTTCATCCAGCTACAACAATGAAGTTTACAACAAGATTGAACAACAAAGCATAAAATGTCCCAGAGGAAACATTTGTAGGACATCATTTGTTGTTACTCGCAGCTATGTTGGAACAGTATGGGGCAATACATAGAGTTAAGAAATTTAGATTATTTGGAGGATGGTGGCGAACGATCGCAAATCTGGAAAATATTTTTGATGTTTTGAATTAATAAATAATTCACGATTTACTATCCATTTTTTATATGATTTGGGCCGATTTGGGCGAAATATGCACCGTTTTATTGTATGATTTTTTGCCATATTAAAGGTAACTTCATAATTCCTCACTCATAGAAGTTCTGCTCTCTATTTGCCAAAAACTCTAGTAGTAGATTTGCACAATCCTCCCTAGATACAAATTTTTCCTTAAAGAAATTTAGCAATGCAAGAAAAATATGATAATCGCGTGCCAAGGCCGGACCGTAAGGCAGATGCATTAAAATTTTCCAACCAAGCTCCCGAAGTTTCTGGCGAGTCACTGTAAATGTGTGTAGCCTAGCGTTTTTCTGGTGGAACACAATGCCTATCCTGTTGGTCAATTCTGGCAGGTTTAATGATTTGAAACAGTTTTAAGGTCGATTTTTTAGCTTTTAGGCGATGTTACGACAGCTAAAATGCCGATCAACTTCGACCGGCCTACCTGTACGAGGTGCATCTTTAACATCAGAAACAGCAAAAAAATTACTGCGAAATGTCACCCTTCCAACGAACATAAATCTGAAATTGTTTGATCGATACATTACGAGAAATCTATCAGTACAAAATCAAAATAATAGATTTCTTTTTCTCCAACCTAATCTCATTATTCAATATCCAATTCGATCTCTTGGGAACATTTTTTTTCCGATTTTGTCACATGTGTAATCTATAATGTTATTCGGAGTGACGAATGGTATGCTTGATACCAATCAACGGCTCTGATTGGCTTTAACATGACAAAGCCCAGGTTTATCTTGGTCCCTGTTTCATCTCAATTGTGGACACTGACCACCCCACGGTGTCACCTAGGGAAGCTATTTTCATCACCCGTTGAAATAGTGAATTAGAACTATAAAAAATGGTTGATGCGTCGGTTCAGTTGCCCACACACGGAAAAACCATCCTACTATGAAAAAGCAACGAAAAACCCACCCACTGTTGACGATCCCTACAAACGTATAAAGGATCACAATCTGCGAATTTGCTCGTGGAATGTGTGCATGTTGTACAGAACAGGGGCAATCTTCGCTTTGGCAAATGTACCCAAGAAGTACAAAGCCGACAGGAAATGCGATGGAAAGGGACAGAAACGAAACATGGATTTAACTTATGCCTAACAAAAGAATAAGAGACCTCGTCAATCATAAACAGCATATTTTAAGAGTGCCTAAAACATATGATCGCTGCCCTGACCATGCCATTAAAATTCTGCTAGAAGATTTTAATGCAAAAATAGGAAGGGAAAATGTTTTTAGCTCCGCCGCCTGAAAAGTCAGCCTGCATATTTCAGACGATCCATCGATCCAAGGAGCGAATATCGATTCGGACCAAAACAATGTAGCAGCCAAGGTTAGAACACGTCTCAATGTAGTAGTAAAGGTGCGATGTAATGTAACGCGGAAACTCGACGTCGAAAACCTGCAAACACAACAGATAGCAGTGCCCTACATCGCTCAACTTATCCACCTGCTTGACGAAAGAACTCTTTGCCTCAATAATAAAATGTAGAAGCACAATGCCAAAGAATTGCGTGAGCACATCGAGATGTACAGAAGTCAGAATGAAGTCCAGAAATCCAACGAAAACACCAAATCGAAGGCTTTGGTGCAGCCACACCACACCTGTTGAGATCAAGGAGGAAACCTGGTGACATGTACGGATAGCGTGTTGAGGATTTGGAGGAGCATTTTGAAAACTTTGTGGTATAAACTACTGTCAGTGAAGAAGATGCCCCAGAACCAATAATAGATGATGGTATGTAATAAATATCACCTAGTCAAGATGAGGCCAGAAAATCAATAGCCTCAAGAATAATAAAGCAGGCGATATTTGCCATCTATAGTGGAATACGTCTCCTTCGCATCGCATATAAAGTGATATCCAGCGTGCTGTGTGATCGACAGAAGACAACGGTATATGGCATTATTTGACCTGGCAAATCCTACATAGACCAGATTTTTATACTGCGTCAAACCCAGGAAAAGGCCTACGAAGAACACATCAACACATTCCACCTATTCATCGACTAAAGTCGGAAAAGACCTTTCGGAAGCATTCAATACCGGTCGTGTGACCTTTTTAACATCGTGCAGGAAAAGGTCATACGAGATGCTAAGGTGAACGGAAATGGCACTCTGTATACCATAGAACATATGTTACTCGCCTACGCCGATGACATCGATATTATCGGTCAGGCATTGCGAGCGGTAAAATCCACATTTGAACAAATAGAGAATGAGTCTGTCAAAATGGGTATGACAGTAAATGGCGAGAAGACTCCAAAATACAGCTATAAGGTACAGCTACCTCGGTTGGTTCATCTACCTCGAATTGGCCTGCAAATCGTTTCATGAAGTTCTGAATGAGTGGCAAATGAATAAATATTTGAGTATAGCTTCTATGTTAGGCCCATGGCATTTCCATATAAAAAATTAACGAATATTTTCATAATTTCAGTCATGGTTTATTTTTTTTCATTTTGGACGTGTACCTCGCTTAGAATACACGTAGATTTTTTCCCCAAAAAATGTAAACAATCCATTAAAAAGTATTTTCATACTCCGCTCTATTTTACCATTATTTGCGATCTATCTCTCTCTTTTGACAAGAACCAATCAAAGAGACACGTCTTCTGTCTCTCCCCTCACTTGGTGGTTGTTAGTTTTGCAACCGTTTGTTTATTGTTTCTCTTGTTTACAATCGCGGTCTCTCCACTCACTCGATTGTGGCTTGCTTTTCATTCCATTGTTTCTTTATTTCTGACTCTCTTATCGACCTCTGCATTGTTGTTATAAAATTCGCATATGTATTTTCCAAATTATTTCGATATAAACGGTAAAAGAAATAACATATTCACAATTTTATACTTAATCGATGTTCAGTACAAATATCAAGGTGCGTAAATTTTGGACCTAATCGTATTCTTTGTGGGAGATATACCATACTAAAAATGTTGCTGATCAGAGTTATAGTGCAAGTGTTTCTATTTTGTCTATTTTCATTTCTACGAAAAGATTTCTATTGCAGATAATATTAGCATTTAAAGATCACTCCGTTAAACAATTTTCACTTGTTATTTTGAAAGACTTTAAAAGTTAGCCAACTCGTACGTATGTACTTACCATTTGGGACCCGTGTATTCATCATTGCTGCCACACTGACCGCCTGCTGCTGTAGGTGGTCCTGCTGCTCCTCCTGTTGTTAATGATGTTGGTGTTAGAATTATCGTGGAACCGTTTTGTTCCTTATTGTTGGTCGAAGACTGCTGCAACATCTCTGGGGGCAATTTTTGCAATTCTAATTTAGAATGTATTTTCAAATCTATGTCCTCCACAGCACGGACAGTGGCAGGATTAGTTGGTGTACTCCAGTTGCCTAAAGGATTTTCAGGATAACTGTTTGTACGAACAGCTGCAATGAGAGAGGGAGAACACACAAAAGACATTTTGAGTTGGGAAATATTTTTTTGTTAGAGTTCGTTTTTTTATTAAAGCTACAGAGGGTGTCAAAGTATTGGGGATGACCATAAGAATTAGTAGGGGAATTAGGTTCGAGTTTACGGTAGATGGTGCTTCTATAGTTTGTCAGTGAAGATGTGTTGAAGTTTTTCCGTTTGGAAATTTGCAAACAATGTTGGTGAAATAAAATGGGTTAAACTGCTTGCTGCCAACTACTAGTCGTTATTTTAAATTTGCAAAAAAATTTTTGCTTGAAGTGTTGGGTGTTAGAAAACGATGTGACATATTTTTGTATGAAAGTGAGACAGTGAAACACAACGGACGGATAAGAAATGGAAAACCTTCTATAGTGAAAATGACATATTATAGGACGAGATATAACTTTAAATAATACAAGAAGGACCTAAAGAAAGTTAAATTGAAACCTGCTCAAGGTCCCCTGTCTATATAAACACTATATATGTATACATATAAACACTGTAAGAAGGCCTACAGCAGATTTTGTTTACAGGATCAGAAGCGTGTATCTCAAAGCGTTTAAGCTCAAAGAAGTCGTCTGTATATAAAGAAAGGTACATAGGGTACCCGTAGAAGGCTTCCTGTTTATGGAATACCCATTGAAAGTCGTCTGTTTATACAAGTCATGAAGATATTTTTACAGAAGATCAGTAGAAGATATTCGGTCAGTAGACGGTGTATAAGGTCTCCTGTCTACAAAATCCGGTTGATGGTCTTTTATTTACAGAAGGCTTGTAAAAGTCTTCGGTCGTAACATAATAAGAATTTGGAACTCCAACTGCAGAAGGCATGTAGAAACCGATTTTCTGTAAAATGTATGTATCTATATAACCCCTATAAGGTATTTTGGCTTTTCAAATGAGACCCTATAAAATCTTCTGTCAACAAAGAAAGCATTCTGTGTACAAAACTCCGCCATTCTGATATTCCAAGCACAAAACACCCTTAGAAAGGGTCTTTATCCATGGAACACTTGCACAGGGTCGTTTATCTCTTTCATGCCTAAAGAATATGTCTAAAAAAGATCTGTAGAAGATATTCGGACAATAAAAGGTCTTCTGTATTTTTTACACAGGAGGTTTATAAAATATCTTCTGTTTATTGGCGACCTTCTACAATCTGCGATCAAAAGATATTTTTCTTTGGATCACACAATCTTTCCCTAGGACATCTTCGTTTACAAAAAAACCTATAAAAAGTCTTCGGCCTTTAAAATCCTCTAGGTCTTGAGTTTACAAAATATCTCTAGAACGTCTTTGATTTCTGGTAGATTTCTAAAGGCCTTACGTCTGCAAAACACCTGTTGAATGTCTTCCTTTTGCAGGGCTGTAAAGGTCTTCCATATCAAAAAAAAAAAATCTGAAGGCCTTCAATCTGAAGAATATATTTCGCCGGATGTCTATAAAATACCTCTTGAATATATGTTTTTTCTCTGGAAGACCCTTTGAATGTTTTCTGACTATGGAGACCTGAAGAACCGCAGAAAGCCCTCTGGCTATGAAAAATCCGCAAAAAAAACTCTTCTGGCTATATAAGACCTGAGGAACACATTTTTACAGGTCTGTAATATATATTCGTTCTATACAATTTTTTTCCATCAAAAAATGGTATATAATATGTCCCACAGAATATCTTCGACAGAAGGTCTTTGGCCAATAAAATACCTATATAAAACTCCTTGTACATTAGAGGATTTATTTGACGTATATGCAAAGGAATTGACAATTGAAACCCACTGGGTTAACGAAATCCGGTTAAATGTAAACGTACTATAAGGTATTTAGATTACAGAAGACATTTGTATTTTGATAAGCCCTTATCTGGTAAAGGTCTTCATCTGCAGAAGGTCTTCTTTTATTGATGCTCCCCTATATTTATTTTGATTTGCACGAAATTTAGCATGGTGTACTGAATTGAGTCTGGAATGCGGTATGCTAAGTTTCCTGAAAATCGGTTCAGATTTACATATGGCTCCCACATATATTTTTGTCCGATTTTTTGTAAATGGTGCACCAAAACGCCAATATTTCATTCCATTTACATGAAATTGTGCACAGCGTATCAAATTGTCTACAATGATCTGTTATAAGTTTCGTGGAAATCGGTTCAGATTTAGATATAGCTCCCATATATATGTATGTTGTTTATGTAAATTGAGCACCCATAGTTTGGCCGATTAGCACAATGTACTAAAGTTAGTATAGCCTTACGTGTGTCAAGCTTTGTTGAAATTCCGTCACCTACGGAAGGCATCTGCAGGCCTAATGTCTTCAAAAGACCTGTTAAAGTTATTCTGTCTATAGAAGATTTGTAGAAGGAATTTTATATATGGAACCTTCTGTTGACTGTGGAAGGTCCAGTTTTGACAGAAGGTCTATAGAAGACTCGTGGAAAGTCTCCTATCTATAGAAGAATTGTAGAAATCATCATGTCTATAGAATACCTGTTGTTTGCCTCTGGAGGACCTTAGAAGAACTTCGGCCTACAAATATGCTATGGAAGTTAGATGATCTTCAGAAGATCTTCTATCATTCCTTTTTACGTATTTTACCTCTGGAAGACCTTCATTCGGCAAAATACCCGTAGAATATATTCTAGATAAAAGTCTTAGTCTATAGAAATCATATAAAAGGTCTTCTGTATATAAAAGACCTGTTGGGCGTACAATGCCTGCAAAAGTACCTCTAGAAATTTATGTGCCACTGGAAGACCTCTGAAGGTCTTCTATCTACAAAATATCGGATGAAGGTCGTATGTCTTTGGATGGTCGGATATGACATTCACAAGATCTTATATCTAAATTAGGCCTGTGTAGTGTGTATTATATATGATGTAATGTTCGTAATAGTTCGTATATGTGTGAAAGACCTTCAGAAGGTCTTCAATCCATATAGGACCTAAATCAGGAAAACCATCCAAATTGTTCTACAAAATATTCTAATCAAGGTTCTAGTTTCAAATACAATCCCCTGTCACCCCACTGTCCGGCCACTAGGTGTTGCCATGACAAATACTATTGTCGCCCCCTTGTAGTAACATTATCGACAACGAGTATTTAGAATTGTATGGCATCTAACAAGCTGCAATTTGAAAATATTTCAATGCGAATCTTTTTTTAACAAAACTAAAGGAAACACAAAACACACTTTCTCTACTTCCGGCCATGGTTATTATGGTAGGGAGTCCCCCATTATATCCCCACCACTCCCCACTCCCCATTGTACATTTTACTATTTTAACAATTCACATAAAATAACAGTAATCTAAGTAAGAAATGTAACGAGGAGCCAATGAGTAGAGGCTACAGCAGCAGCAACAACACCAACAACTGATGGACATTAGAGCAACATCGGTAGTTGATTGAGGTTGTGATCCTGTGTGGGAATACACACACAAAAGGGCTAAAACCCAAGCAGTCATAATGGCTGGGATAACAATGGAGAGAGGAAGATTGGTAGTGAAAGAGAGTGAGAAACAGCTTGACTACTCTCAATGTTGGCGGTAATTGTTTGTTGCATTGGCCCATTGTTAAAGTTGGATGCGACTGTTGATTTCCTTTCCTTTAGACCTGTGGCACACAATCAGATTTCTCATCTACTGGTGACTGTGTGAGTGCCGTTGCAAGCTGTCTCTGTTGATGACGCTCTGACAATGATTATGTGTGTTTAAAATAAGAAGACGACGAAGAAGCAGAACAAGCAGAAGTGTTGATGTTAATGAAAGCTGGTTTCGTTTCTTTTAGCCTTTGGCTGGCCAACAATATGAAAAGATTGGCTTTTGGTTAGATGACGGGGGTTCGGTTTGGTTCGCTTATTAAGTTTGTGTTTTGTTTCTGTTTTTGTTGCGTTGCTTTTCTATTTTTTTTGTTTTGGTTTCCGGGCATTTCAGTTCTTTTTTTGCCATTGTGTAAACGATTATACGCTTATGAAAAATATAAAACGAGTTACTAATTAAATCTATTGTCTGAAAATGGCAGCTAGGCAGGCGGCCAATGTGATGCAGTTATATTAAATTCTATGGCATAATGAATAAATTCTGCAATAATGATTAAATTTTTATTCATGTCATGAAAGAAGAAGTTATTGTATAATTGAAATAACTTTTTTGATATGCAATTAAATTTTGGTTTATAGAATGTTTTATTAAACATAATATAAAATGGATGGGGTCGTGTATAGAAAAACCGTAGAAGGTCCTCTACGTATGCAATACCGGTTAGAGGACCCAAATGTTTTTAACTAATGTTTAGAGAACCTCACACATTTTTTAAAAATAATTTTTAGAGGGTCTAACAAAGGCGTAGATTTTTTAGAGAGCCTAACAAAGGCGTAGAATATATTTTTTTTTTTTTAAATAATTTTTAGGAGGTCTGATTAAGGTGTATATTTTTTAAAATATTTTTTAAGGAGCGTTTGACTTGCCTTCTTTCTAATTGAATTGAATCGTTATAGGGTCTAGCAAAGGCATAGATTTTTAAAATAATTTTTAGAGAGCCTAACAAAGGCGTAGAATAATTAAAAATAATTTTTTAGGAGGTCTGATTAAGGTGTATATTTTTTAAAATAATTTTTTAGGTGGCGTTTTGACTTGCCTTCTTTTTAATTGAACCGACTCTATTATTCAAAATATTTAAACTCTATCATTCTCCATGTGGGGTGATATTAATTGTTTATATATTAATTCATACCCTGTGCTCCAAGAAAAATAATATTGCTCACCATGCCTATTTCAAATAAGTGCTAAAAAGTAAATCAAATGTCAACAATCTTCGATTAAATTTGCAAACATGTTTCCCACATTTAATGTCACGTTATTGATTCAATCTATTTACCTTATATACTAATTGAATTGTCATTATCATAGTACGACTTCGAGGGGGGTTGAGCCAATACGCTTTTACTTTTATGAGAAGCAGGTGCAGTACTACACAGGCAA